CCTAACCAAGAAGCCGAGAGGCTCCAACTGAGGCCAGCTTTCAAGTGACGGCATTCATTCCTCAACCAAATCATCGCTTGGCCACCCCTCCTCTTCCTCCATCCACACCCGCGGACCGCAAACAACGCACGTCGCGGGATTCCGTGAGCTGGCATGTGCAACACGTGGCCCAGCCATCGGAGCCTGGTGCGGGAAATAACGGTGCTCAGCAGTTCATTCCCTTTCCCTGGGCCGTAAACAAGGCGTCGAACACGCTCGTTACTCACGCGGTGTTCCCACCAGATGTGAGCCCAACTGCGAAGGCACCAGTGGTCGAACGTAACTAGCCTCTTCATGTCCGCCGATTTTAGGGGCCAGGTTTCGCAACCGTACAATAGGGCCGAACGTACCGCTGCATTGTATACTCTACCCTACAGGGCGAGAGTAATGTCGCGCCGCCGCCATAGGTGGCGAAGTTTAGCAAAAGCACTTCGAGTTTTGCTATACGGTTCGGGATCTCGTCTTCAACCCAACGAACGCTGATACAACTTCCCAGGTAATTTTTGAACGACTTCTAGCTGATCCCCACCAAGGGTCAGCACAGGGGGCGATCCCTGCCAATCTTGGAGGAACGCTTTGCATTTCGGTGATGTAAAGCAAAGCCCGAAGCGACTGACAGCCAGTGCTAATCTGTCCAGCGAGACTTGGCACATCTGCGAGCTGTCACACATGAGGGCAATGTCGTCTGCATACTCCAAGAAGTTGTTCTCTTGGGAGTAGCTCCACACGGTTAAGTCGTGTCCTGTGAGCGCGATTTCCATGACTTCGTCAATAGCGAAGTTGAATAGGAAAGGTGACAGAGGGCATCCTTGTCTCACACCGCTGGAGATATTGAACGGCGGCGACAGCCTGCCATTAGTTCTCATCCCGCCCGTGCTCTGATAGTATTTACATATTTCTGAGGTACGTCTTCCCTGAGCAGACAGTCCCAAAGGGCACATCGATCAACCGAACCGAATCGAAGGCACCATTGATATCGAGGAACACGACTACGGTGGGCCGCCGACATATGTGACGGTACTCCAACAACTGACGCAAAGTGAAGTTGTGGTCAATGCAGCTACGAACCCGACGAAACCCGGCTTGATCTTCACGAATCTGGCTTTCACGAGTGCCAGTAAGTCTGTGAAGGATGACAGAGGCAAGCAATTTGGAGGCGATGGAGATCAGACTGATTCCTCTATGGTTGCCGCATCCCGAACGCGAGCCTCCTTTGAAGATGGGAATAATAACGGAACGGTTCCAGTGGGTAGGGACAGTTTTCTGCCCCCACAGTTTCACTAGTACTTCGTGTAAATCATCAACAGAGTAGGTCCACCGAGTTTGAAGAGTGCTGGGGGAAGATCATCTGGTCCTGCGGCTTTGTTAAACTTCAACAGTCCGATCTCACGTTTGGCTTCTGAGCGAGAGGGCGGATTCAAAGGGACAGACCAAGGAGCAGGGCGATCACTGGCCGGTGAGGAACCGAATAATTCCGGCCGATTAAACTGCTTCTCAAAATGCTCAGCCCAACGCTCCAAACGTTTTGACAAATTGTGGATAAGCTGTGCATTATCGTAACATATTGTTACTAACACCGAGTCTCCTGTTGACCATCTCCCGTATCAGACGGAATAACTTACGATGGTTACCAAATTCAGTGGCAACTTTCATCTCTGATGCACGAATAGACCACCTAGGTTCGTGGTCTATCTTCAGGTTAGCACGGAATCTTGCCCGGAGCACATTGCGAGTTTCATTGTGTTCGCATCAAGCCGGAATATGCCAATGTCTATGTCGGCTATTAGATTTACTACATGAGCGTTTGCCTGCTGCTAGTAAGGTCTGGGGAACATGCGACCAATGACCTTCACTCGAGGTGGACAGAAGTTGACTTTGCAGCGGAAAATGAAGTCACTGATGACCAAATTGGGTGCCGTTTGTCCGTCTCGCCTTGTGCTTGGCTCGAGACTTTACAGGACATGGCTCACAAGCGACACCAGTGGCGCGTCTGCTGCCATCTTCTAATCGGATTGTCTGTTTAAAGTGTGTTTGGTGCTGAGTTATCTGCGGGTTAATGGCTGATTATGACGCGGAGCGGTGAAAGCCGTAAGGAATCTGTCGCGTCGATGCCGCCTTATGTTTGCACGATAGTCCGTTGTTTGTGACGGTTTGCTGTCTACACAAGGTGTAGGCGCCTTGAACCTGAATGTTTGCTTAGGGCATTAAGGTTAGCAAGTAAGTTCCCCTTCTCTCCCTCTTATTATTCTTTATTTTATAGGTCATCATGGTTGTATAGCAGTGAAGCATCAATTCAAATGTCTGATGTACTGCCGTTGATGATGATGATCATGTCTGTAACCACTAGTCATCTTACACAGCAAATCAAAAGCTTTAATCAATTTCATTTAGACAGATATTTCAGCGGCGGAGGATTTCGGTGCGGTTTTCCTTCTTCACTACACTCCACGACGCGTTTCATCCTTGTTTGGACTCATCAGGTAGAGATAGCCTAAACTGGGAGTGTGGACCGGAACATAGTGGCTTACGACTAAAGTCATGATCACTAAGCCAATGAGCTTCGCGAACAATGCTTGACAAAGCGGTTAGAAGCGGTCGTTCGTGTTTTTGAGCATCCGCCGTGTGTCTTGGATTAAGACATACACTCTTTACTGAGACCTCGGCTGGCTTTGAAGTCAGCCTCTACCATTCCGAGCACTAGGAGTGTCCACCAATGGAAGGTTTCGGAGCTATCCTCTCCTAACACAACTCCACGACCAGTTTCGTAATTGCTTGGACTATTCAGGCAGAAAGACCCTGAGCTGAGAATGAAACTCAGTAGTCGGATCGAGTTTCATTCAGCCAATATCTATCGATATCAACTTTTACTGTTATGGTGACCTGAAGCAAAGTAATCAAGTCCACCAGTTATCACGCATCGTATCAAATTAACCAAACTAAAGAGCAACAGGAGTCTACATGGGACTAGTTAAGTAGAGAACGGAATCGGTAGCCTATCTACAGATGTTCCGTTCTTCATGTGATTTCGGTCGGAAAACGTTTCGCTTCTCTAAAACCTCTGGTCCCTACCGAAATTAGAAGTCAACAGTCGAAGTAAAAAATGGAATTGCAGGAAGAGCTACCGAAATAGTACATGTAGTCACGGTTATAGCGTATGTATAGCTTTGCATTTGTTTTCGCTTTGCGCCAATGTTGGATGGCCCCACTGATAGCCCAGTGCAAGGATTGATCATCCGCGCCTGAATAAGCGCTATCTTGCTTTGTGCCGCCGATTGAATTTTTGTACATGTTTCTAGTTCTCTTCTCCTTAAGATGACCCTGGGGCTGGTGTAGAGGATAGAATGGCATGTGGATACTCCTGCGCATCAGTGTTTCTGCTATGGATATTAAGCGCGATGTATATGGATTAGGCGTGAAATAGTACAATAAAAGAAAACGCTGACCATTTCATAAAAATACGCTTCTCTAATTATGATCCGAGGAGATCTCGCTTGAAAGTGTCCACAAATCTCTCCGCCTGGCCAATAGTTTGTGAGTGGAAAGGCGATGAGAACGCACAACGCCTGCGGAACTCCGTGAATGATACTCAAGTGGACAGCGTGTCGTCATCGGTTACACGTGTTTTTGTGTAGCCGACTATGTTGGCGATCTGGTACAGTGTGGTATTGGTTGTCGTATTATCCATGATAAACACTTCAGAACATTTTGCCGTACAATTCCACCACAATGAGAAGGTTTTAGTCATTGATGGGGCCTGCGAAGTCAATGTGAACACAGCACTATGGTTTCGTAGAAGTATTGGCTCCAACTTTTGTGTCACCTTCAAAACATCTGCTACAAAAGGATCGATTTGTTCGACGCCATTTGTGATCTGATCAGCATGAGCATCGGAATATCGAAGAAAACCAAGTTGATTACGGAATGAGATGCTGAAAATGCTTGTCAGCAAACTCGGGTCTCTAGCTCCACATTGATGTGGCTGGTGTTTTTATTTGAGGTGGCAAGTCGCCGGGTGCATGGAGAGGGGTGTATCCAAAGATTAAACAGAGGGGCATGCGAAGTGGATCATGATTTGCATGAAAGGACCGTCACCGCGCAAACTTTGGCGGAAAAAGCGTATGCGACTCGCACACTAGCTTGTCTGTTGTAAGTTTGTGAATGCATGAAACTTCCCTCTTCCATGAGGAAGAGAAAGATGCCTAAGATACCCAGCTCCGGGATTGGGTTATAGTAACCTGACCATCAAAAAAGCCGCACGGTTGACATATATAGTAAATCATTGGGAGGACCCTGCCCAAAGACTGAAGCATGTGTGTGCAGTGCTGTCCAGCCACAGCGGGTACTCATCAGTCATACGGTTGCCAACTGCTTCATATATTTCTACAATTGTCGCCATAATGAGAGAAGGGTGACATCCAATTGGCTCATAAGTCTTATGTGTATTAACTAATGAGTTGCCACGCCAGTGATCATTAAGATGGTTCATACGCTATCTACAGAAACGCATGAAGAGCGACGCTTCAGCTGAGCGCTAGTCTACAAACACCGCCGTACGATCTCTTGTGATACTAAGAGGGGAATAGTGATTAGTCAATCATCCGCACGCCCTGAGATGTCGCAATTCGCCGTCACTCTCAACTTAATTATCTCGATTTTGAAAGGAACGAGAACAAGGTACTTCCGAGAGGAAATAAATCCCCAACTAAAACCCTGAGGGTGCACCCGATATCGTACAGAGCAGAAGTGGCATATGATCCGTTATTTGTGACGAAATGAAAACAACGGAAGGATGCTGATGAGACTGAGTAAATGATAACGTCTGTGCCCTTTGGAAGTGCTCGACTTCACCCCGGGGTACTGGCGATCAAATCGAAATACTACATCAAGTTCTATAAATGATATAGGAAACAAAATGATGTGGTAAGGAGCAAAAGCTCGTATGGAGAAGAAGGATGATTTACTTTCGTGCGCATCACTATATCGTCCGAGCCTAGTGGGTCATCGTCCCCGGCCATCTCAGAAGCGTCAACAGGCGGGAAGGTAGGAACAGGATCTGGCTCCGGCGTCGTCGACAGAGGCACCTATAAAGTATCAAAACGAACGAGAGCCGGAGTGAGAGAGAAATGTAATAGGAAACTCTGTAAAATGAAGTAATGATAACGGTGTATTAGTAGATGAAAATATAGTTTGCGTGCTTCCAGAGGTAACTTCTTGCTTTAATTGACTGGGTGCAAGAGCATGGTCAAAATATCGCAGTATTTCTTGACACAAAACTGAAGAACACTTCATAAAGAAAACATATGGGTGAAATAAAGGGTCTGCATGGCTTTAGTTCTGTAACCAATGCGTAATTTTTCCATCCCTACTAACACTCACTTGCAGAGTACCAGGCGGTCTTCGGTGATAAAAGAATGAAATCGGAGGGCAAGGCAATTTTCCGTTGCTGATCAGGAAGAAAGCCCTGATTTCAAACCGTATAAAAGGACGCGGAAACAGAAAAGCGTGCGTTGATAGATACCGGATAATGATGATGAGTCATTGAGCTAACGAAAAAGTACATTATTAACTGTAACGATGTGCACTTCAGCTTCTTCTACTGAGTGCCCAAATACACGAGGGTGTGCATTATGTAAATACTAATATGAATTCTGCATGCACGCAGCCACACATGAAATCGAGCAAATAAGTAGATAAACATTCATTTTGGAAGTTTGTGAGTAGTGTCAAGAAAGTATAAGTCGCGATTAAAATTCACGCGCAATAATGTGCCTCGACGGGGAATCAAACCCCGGTCCACGAATTTCCGGTCCGCTGCTCTACCACTGAGCTACCGAGGACTGACGATTAGGTGCGCAATTTAATACCTAACTTCTGCTTGGTGCGCGACGTATTGCCAATGAACTCACAGTACCTGTCCTGGTGTTGCAGATGGGATCACTCACCCGTCACTTCCCAATGGACCGAATTACCTGTCCTTCGGATGTCCAATGGGCGATGGTAGATTAATTTTGATGTTTGTGAATGGTGTAAAGTTTGTAGAAAGTAGAAGTCACAATTACAATTCACGCAGAAGTCATGTAATAAAATTTGCGCACCTAATCGTCAGCCCTCGGTAGCTCAGTGGTAGAGCAGCGGACCGGAAATTCGTGGACCGGGGTTCGATTCCCCGTCGAGGCACATTATTGTGCTTGAATTTTAATCGTGACTTCTACTTTCTACAAACATTCAATGGTTTAAATGTATCTCCACTGTAGCCTACTTAAGTGCGGCTTGGGGTGAGCAACGCGTGATTGGTGGGGTGGCGAATGCAGTGGAAATTAGCATAAGTTAGTCATCGAGGATAATGGTGGGCACAGGGCAGCTCAGTAAAGTTGATCCGATAGGTTGTCAAGCTCAAAACTCTACATGCGTGTCTGCATAATCTCTCAAATCGCCCATGTATAAGCGGGATGATATGGGAAAGCACCAAGGAAATGAAGGTAGTGGTGGGTAAAGAACAGAAACGAAACTCCCACACAATCCACCATAAATATCCTGAGTAACCAAGGCTGAGTCAAAGGAGATAAGTTTGCAAAAATGCACACAGAACGCTCGCGGACGCAATTTATTTGTCGGTCAGTCAGAACATACAGACGGAATCAAGTGTACGAGGTGCGCTGTTTTCGAGATTTCATGTTGTAATGGAGAGCCACCAGGGACAGTGAGTTGCGGGACAATCAGACTCAAAGTTAGTGTCTTAACAGTTGAACAATCCGGTTCAAAAAGGAAGATGAAACGAATTCACTCAGTCAAATAATACTACGCTTGACCAAAATACGTGCTCTCACCCGACTAGTGTGTTAGTAGATTGTTTCTAAGAAATGTTGCCAAAAGACCAAAGCAAATTAATGGTAACGCTTCAAGCGACCATATCTCGGTCGACCACAATCATGATCATGCTACATGCTCGCCAGTAGTGAGAAACACTTCAGCTGTTGTACCGTCGATGATTCAATGATCTGGAAATGCAGGACCTTAGTTCGCCACACCAGCAAGCTCTTTTTGAGGTACAGCCGAGGGAGAAGTTCGGAGACAGTAAGCGAAGTAGTTCGTTTAGGAATTCAGAGGTCAGCGGCCCGTTAACCACGTACGACTGGCATGAATGGGATGGCTACTGACGATGGATCAAAGCTCATAAGGAATGTTTCTTTAAGCCCAATCAGTTAAAAATGTGATGGGAATGGTTGGGTATTGTCTGCTCGTAAAGCTGCGCTCCAAGACCCGTTTCGTACTTAATTCACCAGTCTGGTAGAGATAACAGGACCGTGACTCAAACGTATGACATAGAGGTTGCCAGCCGAAAGCTTTACTCCTAAGTAAGGTCCCAGTGGCCGAATTGATTGAGATTGCGCGTTAGATCACTTCAGACAACGAGGGCTTCAAGACAATGCCCAATAAAGGCAAGCACACCAATGCAATAGAGACCAGGACAGTCTGAATTAAGAACATGTAGTTTTTCTGCATAAATCCAACAAATTGAGAATGAGAAGATTGATGAGAGAGCGGGTGCACATCTGTCACCGCGAGACCCAAAAATGTATATCCCTGGATTCACCGCAATTAGCGGCACATGCAATGCAGGAGGTGCGCACAGAAATTACAGATAGTCAGCAATCGATGAAGGTGAACATCATCATCATTATACATGTCAGCTGGAGGTGGTAAACACCTCCGCTATTGTACCGTAATGCATAAAGGAAATACATAATACATACATACAATACATAAAGGAAAAATAAATACAACAGTTGCATACCAGCTGAGCTACCAGCAACGGATAGGCATCGTGCCGGTAAGCTACCAGCCAGCTACTAGGCAAAAAATGTATTATGTTTTACCCTACGAAATAACATCGTAGATGGAGGGAGAGGCTAAAAGGGACGGGGAGGGACAAAGAAACTCACAGCAGCAACGACACTGAGGTCGGCTCCTTGCCATGTCAGCAAGTGTATAAAGCCAAACGTGTTTACCGCCTTCTAGACCCTAACCAGGGAGCCGTGAAGTTCCAACCAAGGCTAGATCCGAAGTGAGGGCCTTCATTTCTCTGGAACAAGCCAACGATTGGAGATCTCTCCTCTTCTTCCACCCACATCCCGGGTGAGACTCTGCCCGTGATACGCGCGTGTACTGCTTGGATAATATTTACATATTTCTCAAATACACCATTCCTGAGTAGACAATTCCAAGCTGCAAGCCTACCCACCGAATCGAATGCACCTTTCATATCGAGGAACACGACAACGGTGGGCCGCCAATATGTGTGACGGTGCTCCGACAACTGATCCAAGGAGAAGATGTGGTCGATGCAGTCACGACCTCGACGAAATCCAGCTTGCTCTTCACGAATAAGGCTTTCACGAGTGCTAGTCAGTCTGTGAAGGATGACAGAGGCAAGCAATTTGGAGGCGATGGAGATCAGACTGATTCCTCTATAGTTGCCAAAATCCGATAGAGAGCCTCCGATGATAATTGGGACTCTGACAGAGCGACTCTAGTCGGTTGGGGCAGTCTCCTGCTCCCATAGTTTCACTAGTAATTCATGTAAAGCATCAACAAGAGCAGAGCCTCCAAATTTGAAGAGGGCTGGAGGAAGATCATCTGGTCCCGCGGCTTTGTTCAACTTCAATAGTCCGATCTCACTTTCGACTTCTGAGGGAGAGGGTAGATCCAAAGAGACAGCCCACGGACCAGGGCGATCACTTGCCGGCGAAGAATCGAACAATTCTAGTCGATTAAATTGCTTTGCAAAATGCTCAGCCTAACGCTCCAAACGTTTTGACAAGTTGTGGATAGGCTATCCACTCTCGTCATGCATAGTTTCACTAACACCAGGTTTCCTGCTGCCCGTTTCCCGTATCAGACGGAATAACTTTCGATGGTTACCAAGGGCAGCGGCCACTTCCATCTCTGACGCACGAAGAGACCATCAAAATTCGCAGTCACTCTTCAGGCTAGCACGGAGCTCTTTGCGAGTTCCATTATGTTGACTTCCAGCCTGGATATGCCGGCGAGCGTCGATAAGTTCCAGACACTGCGAAGAGACCCAATGTCCATGTTGGTGACCAGACATACCACACGAAAATTTTCCCGTTGCTAGTAAGGTCTGATGCGCATGTGACCAGTGACCATCAATTGTCTCCAGTGAGCGCTTACACAACTCGCATGTCAGCGTACTTCGATGCGCATTCAGAACAGCTGGCTTCGCTAGTTGCCTGATGTCAATGCGCTCACAGCGCAGTCGTGGGCGTCCGCCAAAGCCCATCCGCTTGTCAGCACATACAAGTGCATGGTCGGTGTCCACACATGTGCTCCAAATCGAGCGACAGTTCTGAACGCAGTCTCTTCATCGGTGACTTAACGCAATGTGATCGATTTACGTCCATAGGCGGTTCTAAGCTGGTAGGCGCTAAGTCACCCTCCGGCGAGTGCTGTGTCGGAAGTTAGTGCTCGCAAGAAATATGTGAGCATCCTCACAATAATCAAGTTACCGCTCACTGTTATCGTTAAGGGAGCCTACACCATGTTTGCCGCCCAGACGCAGTTCATCAATGGATAATTTTCCAATTTTAGCGTTTAGATCCCCAGCCAGCACTACAGTGGCGTGCTACTTCGGTGACAAAGGAGCTGGTTCAGTTGACGATAGAAGTCTTTTATCGAGTCATCGCTAGAGCTTGTGGGTACATAGGCAGTGATAACGAATAGACAACTATTGGTCCCACGCGACGTCGAAGCTTTGAACGAGCCAGCCAATAGGACCGCACACATCCGGATACCGATTTGGATCCGATCAACCAGAGTAGCCTCAGTCCGGGGACTCAGTGCAATATCAACACCAGCTTTGCCGGCACTCGAAGCTGAATCGCCACCGGATAGACGCAATGAGAAAGTGCGGCTGTGCCAAATGAAGGGGATCACAGAATGAGCACAGAGCACAAGTCTTGCAGGCAGGTATCAGATAACCAGCAGATATCGATCGCAATGAGGCTGGACCTCAACATGGTGCGACGGATTGCGCGCCTCACAGACCCATTGAGCTATGCTGGGTGCTGCTTTTGCACCTCCAGAGCCACTCATATCAGATTGGGCAATGGTTAGAGGCCAGACAAACTCAGCCTCCTGGTCCTCCAGGTTGGGGATTGGAATGAGGGTAGCACCTTATTCCTTAAAACGGACTCATTGTAGGCCAACGCCAAATCCGCTGCCTTGTGGTAAGGTTTATGAACCAAAGGCTTTGGTTGAGAACCCTAATC